CGTCGCTCCCGGTGCACGCGGTACCCCAGCCCAAATGTGGCACAAGAGGCTCCCCTGCCGCCCGCCCTGCCTTCCTGGATCCCTACAGGAAGTAGCCCCCGGCCCGGCTTGCGGGGACATGGCGGGCAGATTCTCTGAACCGCAGACCCCTGGTGCCCCCCAGATTCGGAGCTCTTCAGGGAAGCAGCCGACTGGCATTCCCGATCATGAGCTCTCTTGGGAGGGGCTGGCCCACCCCGAGACCTCTAACCCCTTCCTCCTCTTCAGTCCCCTCTGGTTGGGCCACCTCTGCCTGCCCAGCGCGTCCCTCGGTTAATGGCACCACGGGGCAGGCCTCACGGTGCTCACCTGGCAGCCATGGCACCAGCTGATCCACAGTGAGCTCCTGCCTCAGAGCCTCAGCCCCTCAGGGCAGGTGGGGAGCTGAGAGGTGAAGGCGTCCGCCTGCGCCACTGCCCCAGATGGTCACCACGGCGCTCCAGCGGGCTGCCCCGGGTGTCCCCCTCCACTTTCAGACTGAGGAGCGCAGGCCCAGGTGTCCTGCCTGGCGGGAGGCCTCGGGACTTGGCCTCCCCTTCCCTCCTTCCAATCAGCTGCCAACCCCGAGCGCACAGGAGCGGAGCCAAACGTGGGCTCCCCGCCAGGCTGGGCGCCGCGGCCACGCTGCCCGGGGCTGGGCAGGAGGGTCCCGGGCTGGCCTGTGGGGGCCGCGAGGCACGAGGGGGCCAGGCCTCCTTTCCCGAGACTCCTGGTTCCAGAGGGTCCCCTCCCCTGCGCCCACCCTCCAGCCCTGGAAGTTTCTGGAAGACAGTCTTCACCTCCCACCCCGCCCCTGGGCCTTCACCCTCTGGGATTCCTGGGTCCGTAGGTATAATGGACTTCACTCCCGGGCCAGGGTGACGTCACACAGCACGGTTGTCCCCAGGGAGCTTGTCCAAGCGGGCCTCAGCCATCTCTACCCCAGGATCCCACGCCTCGGGTCAGGGTTGAAGATGGGGGAAGCCTTGGGACAGGAAATGTGGAACTTCCAAAGCCAGGAGTGGCCCCCAGCTGGCAGCCAGCAGGGGACAGCTGGCCCAGGCCTATGGCCACAGGGAACAAGTCTTCCAGTGGAGAGACGGGCTGCCAAGTGCCTCCCGCATGGGCCCCGAGCGTCCCCAGCAGAGGGGGCGACGTGGCCTGGCCTGGTGACACAGCGGGGTGCACTTCTGGGTGGCTGCTGTGTAAGCTGCTCCACGTGGTCATGGGGCCACGGAAGATGGACACTCACTGGTGATTTAACAGCGTGTCCCTGTGCCCCAGCCTGCGTCTGTCCCCCCACGTGGTCAGTGGGAGCACCGTCTTCTTGGCCCCCAATCCTGCATGGTCTCTCTCAAAGACCCGTCATCGAAGCCACCGGAACGTTCTTTCAATTCTCCTTCATGAAGTCATCAGGGGTCAGGCCCCTGTGACAACCTGTCACCACCCTGGGGACCTGTCCCCTTCTCCTTCCTTCTCGGGCAGCTCTGCGGGTCATCGTAGCAGCGGCTGGTTCCTCCTGGGCAGGAGGAGAGGGTGCCCCGGGCAGTGATGGGTGGCCCCCCTTTCTAGCTTAAATGCAGACACAGAGGGGTGCAGAAGAGGGGCTCCCCAGGGAGCCGGGGACGCCCAAGTCCTGACACCGCGTCTGTGCCCCAAGCCCGCTTCAGCATCCGCGTGCCCACCGTCATGCCGCGGAACACTCTGTGGGAACCTGGGTTTTATCACGTCAGAGCTTGGAGCCAAGAGTGGAAGATGCTGTTGGTGGTTGGTGCCTGGGGCTCGCAGGGCCCTTGCAGGACCCCAGGAGGCAGCCCTGGGTGGGCAGGGTGCACTCTCAGGAGGGCCCGAGGCCAGCCCCCTGTCCTTCCTCGACAGCCTTCCCCGGGCCTCGGCCTCCCCCCTGAGGAGGACATAACTTGTCCTTTTTGGTTATAGGTTTGGCACGGCACCTGCCATTCCAGGTGTCAGGATTGAAGGGTGACTGTCACAGCTGATGCGTAGTGTGTGACTGACTTCTTGTCCAAAGCATGTGCGTGTGCATGTGTGTGCGTGTGCATGTGTGTGCGTGTGCATGTGTGTGCATCAGGGACGTCAAGACCTGGCTGGGCGTCGAAGCCACAGGCTGTAACCTGCATGACCTCCCTGGAGGGAGACCCTGTCTCAAAATAAAACAGAACGAGGGCCGGGACGTGGCTCGGTGGCAGGGCGCCCCGGTTTGCTCTCCAGGACTGGGGACATAAAAAATAAATAGGTTAAACCTAGTTTCTTCCCTAAAAAAAAAAAAAAACCTCCAATGACTCTTTAAAATTCATAAAACGTACTGAATTGTTAAAAAGCCCCTGGTTTTTATGACTATTTTTGCAAGGATGAATGGCGTCTCTTCTTTATAAAACACCCAGGACGGTGAGGAAGAGGAAAGCTCATCTCTCCCACCCAGAATGCCCCAGGAGCCCGCTCAGGGACAGCGTGGAGGTCGAGGCCAGCTCTGGAGCACTCTCGGCCCCCGGACACCTGGACTCTCCTGCTGGGCACCTTCGGGAGGTGCCCCAGAGGACCACCCGGGGGCTTTCCTGCCGCTGTCCCTGCCTGGTGCTGGGCCGTCACCTTCCACAGCCCCCAGAAGGCCCAGGGGCGACTCACGGGCAGTCCAGCAGAGCAGAGTCCAGCACCGTGCCTGATCCACAGTAATTCTGGGCAAACATTTTTTACAAATAAAACAGAAGATTCCCTCCCTACGTGATGTGCCGGCACCTAGATGGACGGAAGGTGGCGGAAGGGAAGCCTTTGCAGACCACACAGCTAATACTGCACTTAGCTGGGGAAGGGACCCGTTGTCCCTGGGTCCACAATGGCGGGAGGCTGATGTCAATGACCAGCCTTGGACCGGGGCTGTGCTGCTGCCCGCTCAGAGCCCTCGGCCGAGCCACCAGGAGACACTGCAGAGAGGAGCCCAGCCCTGCCACCCTGTCCTTCCCGTGCTGCCCAGCTCCCTGCGGGGGCCGCGGGCTGAGCCTGGGCCCAGAGCACCTGCAGGTGGACACGCCCCACCTCCGTGCCAGCCGCCCCGGAGGCCAGTCTGCACCGGGAGCAGGAGGAGTCCCATTGTCCCCGGCTCCATGGTTATAGCTCACGTGACTGTCTTTTTGGAGTTCTTGGCCAAGCAGGCGATGGGTCTGGCTATTACACGGCAGTCCGTGACGGAAGGGGACGGTCCCCGTCTGCCCAGAGCCACAGGCCGGCTCCTGCAGGAAGTCAAGGCCTTGAAGTGGCCTTAATGTCTTGTCAGCGAAACACGGATGACAATACTTAGGGCTCCTAATGGCTGGGGTGAGGGCGATGGGCCAGGGACACCTCCCAACAGCACCCGCAGGGTCAAAGGAACGGGTGGGTTGTTTTGCGTCACTAGCGAAGGGACGTCTCCCCCAGAAGCCGCCTGGTGGTCAGCCGGAGTCTGTGACTGAACCTGGGCGGCTGGTCAGCTCCACCCGGGGTCATTTAACCTGCGCCTCGTGCTGGGTCCAATGCTTCTTGCCCCGGGGCGGCCATCTCTGGGGTTCTGGGTGCCACGCTCGTGGCGGTACCTGAGGATGTCCTCTCTGCCCTGTCCCCGCCCTTCCCCGTCTCCCCCTGGTGGGCCCTGCGGGAAGGAGAAGGGGACACTGGTGGCAGGGCTCCGGGCACCTCTCTGGTTGTCCAGACCTGGTGCTACCCCAGGGCTGGGCGGCCTCGGGGGGTGGTCTCGACCTCTCCTGGGCACTGCTGGTCCCTGGACCTCGCCCCACCCCCCTGCTCTGCGTGAGCAGGTGGGCCCTGGCGTGTCTGTCCCCAGGCCCAGCTCTGGGTCCCCTGGCGTGTGTCAAATCGGTGGAGACTCTGGTTCACTGAATTCTCCCTGGTACCGTCTGGGTCCAGCCCAGTCCCTGCCTGAAAGCCACTCAGTGGAGACTGGCCTCCATTCTGCTGCCCGCCCCTCGGTGCACTTCCCCCGGAGCAGCCAGAGCAGCTTTAGGGCACTGGGGTCATCTGTGCATTGGACACCCTTGGCCGGAAGTCCCGCGGCTGCCCGGCTCGCAGGCCCCTGGTCCGGCCCTCGCCGACCTGCCCGCCTCCTGGGCTCCCACCTGCAGGAGGAGGTAGATCCTGTGGGCCGCCCAGGCCGTCTGCGGCCACAGTGCTCATGTGCTGGGTCTGGCAGGATTTCTGCAGGAGCTAGTGTCCCCGGTCACCTGGGGGCTGGCCGGGCGTCCCTCCCTTCATCCGGTCTCAGCAGCAGAGCAAGCAGGGCCTGTCCACTGGGGCTTGGGCCGAGGGGCAGAGGGACAGCCACGTGCCCCAAGGCTGAGGCCCAGAACAAAAGCCACCAGTCCACCAGCATCTCGTCCTGAGGGGAGGCCTGGGTCAGGGGGAGGGACGCAGATGGAGCAGCCGTGGCCCTCTTCCTCCATGTGACCGGCTCATTGCCTCTTGGCCCCCTGCACCTGCCACCTGGGGGTCAGCGGTGCCCCATCTCAATGTCCCTGTCATCCCTTGTCATTCAAACTCACAAGCCCTTCCTTAAGAGGGGACGTCCACTGAAGAAGCCCCCGTTCCTCACGCTGCCTTCTATTCTGTGACGTTAGTTTAAGGGTTATTTTCACTGGTGTCTTCACGGGAATGAACATGGCAGAAGGGCAAGTCACAGCTGTTCCCCTCTCTCTCTCTCTCTCTCTCTCTCTCTCTCTCTTTCTCCCTCCCTCCCTCTCCAGGGATTGAACCCAGGGGTGCTTAACCACTGAGCCACGTCCCCAGTCCTTATTTTATATTTTATTAGAGACAGTGTCTTGCTGAGTTGCTCAGGGCCTCCCTAAATTGCTGAGGCTGGGTGGGGATCCTCCTGCCTCAGCCTCCCGAGTCCCTGGGATGTGCACCACCATATCCGCCAGTTCCTTCTGCGGCTCCTGGGACACCTGATGCAAAGGAGGAAGAGACCCCCCCCCCACTCGGTCCCTGTGTGTTGGGGAGGTGTCTGCAGGATGCCATGCACCTGTGCAGGTAGAGGGCCTGGGAATGCTGGGGTCTGGGGTCCCTCCCTTCTTCCTGTGTGGCCCAGGGGAAGTTACCTCCCTTCTCTGTGCTTCAAACTGTAAAACCAGGTGAGGATGAGGAGCCGCAGGGTTAAGGACCTTGAGATCTAAGTCATCGAGCGGCCTTTGTTATTCTAATGAATTCCTTAATTTCCAGGTGGACTCTCACTGGGTGCCCACCCTCTCCTGAGCGCCAGAACCCGGAGAGGGAGACCAATTGCAGGAAACGGGGCCGGCAGGGATCATATTTCACGGCCATTCTTAAAATGGTTTCAGGTGGCTGCCTGCCAGCTCCGGCCACCAGCGTCCCCATCCCCTCCGGGAGGTGGAGGGCAGAGGTCTGGACCCCAATCTGTTTATCACCAGAACAGGCTGCGGGTGCCTTAGGGCCTCCAGACCCCGGAGCAGCGCGTCTCCATGCAGATCCACCGCAGGCCGCGCCCGACTCGGTTCCCCGCCCCGACTCTGCCGCCGTCTGGTTCTTGCCGACTGACCCTCGGGAAGCCACCAACCCGGAGTCACCTCCGAATCCGATGGGCCCGCTTGCTCGGCGAGGTCCCCACGGTGACGCCGGCCATCCTTACCAGACGCAGACTCTGCCACTGGTGAGTTTCCTTTCCGTGTTCTATGACCTTGGGTTCTCCAGCACCGAGTCCCAGGGAACTCGATTGATTGGAAACGCGCCCTGCCCCGAAGCGGGGACATGTCATATCGACTCGGATCGATCCAGGCAGTTTAAATAAAGCTTAGGCCAGAAACGCCGCCTGCCCGCCGTCGCACCTGGTGGACATTTCCCTAACATGCCCGACGCGGGCGACTCAGTCATGGCCCCGTGACGGTGACGGTGGTGGCACACTCCATTTCTGGGATTTTCTTTCTTCCTTTTTTTTGCATTTATCACAGACTGAAAAGAGGAAAGAAGCCGTCCCGGGGCTCCGAGCCCGAGGTCCCAGTGGACCTCACAGCGAACTGGGCTGTCATCGATCTCTCCAAACACATTCCCGTCCTGCGCAGCTCCCAGGGCCTCCCGCGGCCCGCGTGTTGGGAGGCCCGTTTCTTGCAGGAGTCTCTGGTTTGGGAGTTGACCACCTGCCTGCCGCTGCCTCGTCACCTAATGAGCCTCAGTCCACACTGCAACCTGTTCCCTCCGAGTTTTCCTCCACCCTGGCCCCCACACCCCCACGCCGCTGCCCCTAAGCTCAGGAGTGGAGGCCTCACGCAGCCCCGGCCACAGCCAGCGACGGTCACGCTCCCGGGAGAGCGCGGGGTCAGGGGAAGGGGCTCAAGCCAGCGCCCGGCAGCCGCGTGTCTCTCACCCAGGTTCCTTCTGCCTGCTGTGTAGACGAGAACTCTGAGCCACATAGTCTCCAGTGAGGGGTTAAACGCACTGTGTGTGGTCATCGCTTCTCTGCTGTGGGGTGACTGCGCAGCCCCAGGAAGGCACCCGGTGTCTAGAGACTGGAGGTGGCAGAGTCCTGGCTGATCCTAGTTCCCAAGCATCTTCAGGGAGGGCTGAGCAGCTCAGTGGTAGGCGCTTGTCTAACACGCAGGGGGGCCCGCAGCTGGCCCATCCCGGGGGACAGAATGGGAGGCTCTGTGGACCCAGGAAACCTGGCTCAGAGGGTGGCAGAGGTTTTTACTAAGTGACAGGAGAAAAGTAGGAATATCACAAAAAAAAAAAAAAAAAACCTTTTTAGGTGAGTGCCACAAATTTCAAAATTTGAAGGTATTTTGAAGGACATAACAGAGGTACACACAGTCCCGTGGGGAGGCATTTAAGTGTTGGTAATGGTGGGAACAGACCCAGTTCTCTGTCTCTCTCTGTTGAATGAATTTGATATGTTTTCCTTGTTTTTTCACACCCAGTTGTATGAGGAGGCCAGTATGCCTGTGCTCATGCCCACCACTTCCAGGGGACAAAGACTTTGGGGCAAGTCCCAGGTTTGCCAACTCTTGGCTGTGTGACCTTGGTTGATTTTCTTAACCCCTCTGTGCCTCAGTCACCTTGTTTGTAAAACGAGCAGAAGAGCAGCTCCCCTTGAGGTGCAGGATGGAATCTGTGGTGCTGGGGTCTCCTACAGCGTGACACTCATTAAACACTGGGTACCCTCAGGACACAGAGCAGGCGGGTGGCTGGTGCGGTCACCTACTCCTGGGAGACCAGGGACAAGAATAAAGGCCTTTCGAGTTTCCCTTGGCTGTAGGTGAGGAAGCCGAAAGGCCTGGTCCTCCTGGGTCCTGCCCGGGGCCATGCTGGGTGCAGGACAGAGTCTGCCTCTGGGCCCGTCTGCATCGGCAGAACAAGACCATTCAGAAAGAGAAAAATCAACACACTCACCTCAGAACCTGCTTACAGACACTCGGCTCCCACCGATATCCCTGGCCTGTCCTCGGGCAGAGATTTGGAGGCCGCTCTTGGGGTCAACCACACAAGCTTAGTGTCCATCCACTACCCTTTCCTGGCCGTGAACAAGACCCCGGAGCCTGGTCCAGAGGGGAGGAGGGAAAGTCAGAGTGCTGAATGGTGGCCCTCCCTGCCTCGGGGACCTCACTCCCCGTCCCCAGCAGCTGTCCCCGCGGCTCTCCGCCCCTCTAGGAGACCAGGGAGGATGCCGCACGTGGTTCTGATTCCCTCGCTCCTCAAAATGCACTTTTCCAAGATGTTATGTGAGTGTCTCTCTGTGTTTTGCTTTTTCCCTTGGAAAAGAAAAGCTGGTGTTTTGCCAAAAGAATATGAACTGCCAACCCTCGGGGTCTGAGCTGCCTTCAGGCGGCCGATCCCTGGGGACAGGAAGTGGCGTGGCGGGGCCTGGAGCACTCTGACTGGGGGCCAGGGGAACCTGGGCAGGGCAGGCCGCTGCTTCTGTTGTCTCCTGAGCACTGGTCCCGGGCCACATCTGCAGGCCCAGGGGGCCCAGACGGGCTCCGTCCCTGCTGGGGACAGCCGCCGTCCCAGCTTCGGCCTCCTGAGCCCATGGAGACACGCTCCCTGCCCGGGTCAGCAGAAGAGCAGCTGCAGGCCCTGGAGTCCCGCGCTGCCTGGCCGGAGGTCAGGGTGGCCTGGCTGAGCCATCTCCAGGGGTCACCAGGAGGAGCTGTGGGGCCCCGGGAGGGCAGGGCACGTCCTGGGGCTCCGGCAGCTCTGGGAGCAGGTAGAGACCAGCAGGGGGAGCCGAGGGGCCGAGAACGGACAGTCCAGCCCACGTGGCACGGGGGACGCTGGGTCCGGCCAGGCCTGTGGCAGGAGAAGCCTGTGGCTGGGTGGCCACCAGGGCGGGGGGCTAGCCGAGAGGAGGTGGAGGAGCCTCGCCCAGAGAAGGAGGTGGGCGACCCTGGACCCTGGAAGCGGCTGGCCGGCCCCATCCGCCGCTCACCACGGGACGCCCAGGAGGAGGATGCGGAGGTGGGGTCGTGGTCTCTGCCCTAGGGCTGTTGCTGTTGTCCACAAGGACACCGAGGCTCTGGGCCTGGCACCTTGCCCAAGTCTGCGTGGAGGGAAGACGGGGCCGGCCCTTGGGACGTTCGTCACCTCCATTCACTGATGACAGTTTGTCCTAGGGGAACGGTGGGAGCCGAGGCAGGTGGCCCTGTGCCACCGAGCTCAGATGTCCCCACTGCTGTCCCCGGGGCGTGCTGGACAGTCCTGAGGTCCCAGGCGAGTCAACTCTGGAAGGGGGCCAAGGTGAGGCAGCCATCACCAGGGCCCAGGGCCAGTGGTCTGTCCAGGAGGTGAGCTGAGGCTGGCCTTGAACTTGAGACCCTCCTGCCTCAGCCTCCTGAGCGGCGGGGATTTCAGGGTGCACCTCTGTGCCTGGCCTGGCTTGCTCTCTTTAATGCACTTCTGCCGAGTCCCCGTGACCCGTGAGGTGTGGAGCTGGCTCTGGGACACACACAACCGTGCCCAAGACTGCGCTCAAGCGGACAGTCCCCAGGGAGGGACACAGGTGGCAAGTCATAGCCTCCCCGTGCAGAGGGTGCCGTCTGGAAGCCCGCGGCGAGGCACTTCTGAAAGTGAGCGTCTGGTGACATGCGGGGAGGACCGCAGGTCGGGCCGTGGTCTTGGAACCAGTTTTCTCTTCTGTAAGAAAGTGTCCTTCTAAACCCACCTGCTCATGGTCTGCAGGTGAGGTGTCCCCAGGAGCTGGCGTGAGGCAGCGCAGGAAGCTCCAGGGGACAAGTGGCCGGGCTGTGACAGCCTTAACCAGGCAGGGACCTCGTCCCCGATGGGACTTGCTGAGTGGCACTGAGGGTGGGATGAGGTGGGGTGGGAGTTGGGGACCTGGCTTGGGGTCTCTATTTGTCTCTAGAGAGTGGGGTCCCTGCTCCCTGACCCCCGTGGGAGCTGCCTCCTCCCCACACTCTTCCTCCAGGATGTCCTGCGTCCCCTCAGCCCCTGTGGACGGAGGCCTCTGACGCCCGGAGCCCCCCACACACACACCTTCCCTCCTCTGCAGATGTTCTGGCCGGGACCTTTAGTCACCGTAGTGAATGGCTGACCCAACCCGCCACCAGACCCGGGTGAGGCCTCGGAGCCTCCGTCGGGCATTTTGTTATAGCCACCGCAACGGCCCGGACAGCCTCCTCATTCCATGGCAAAGCAGGAACCCTGGCGCCCACCCGACCAGCCACTTGAGAGACGGAGTGAAGAGCTGAGTCACGTGAGCCGTGAGGAACCCGCCCGCAGGGCACGCTCAGCCAGCGAGGGCCCTTGTTCCTGCCCCAGGCCTGCCCTCGGGGTGGCAGACACAGGGTACGTGAGCCTTCAGTGGCCAGCCTCACCCGCCCCAGTGTGCAGGCCCCACGCGCGCCGGCAGCCTCGAGGGTTAATGAACAGGTGACATCTCCTGAGCTCCCACCAGGCTGCAGGGTGTGCCCTTGCATCGTCCTGAAAACCCTGCAGACTGGGAACTTTTTACACCCAAGCCAACGGGAGAGGAGGATGGTCATGGTCCAAGGCTGAGAACCCAGGCGGCGCAGGGCCCAGACAGTAGGAACCCCTGAGATAGCGCCCCGACGCTGACTTCCTCGACACATTGAGGGGAAATACAGTACAATAGTAAATAAGCCATAACGCATCCAGGCTGGGTGACAGTCTTTCCACCAACGCAGTCATGGAATGGAATTCACGCTCTCCTCCTGCTTGGGAGTCCTGACGGAGCCTTAGGCGAGGGTTCTGTGGGTGCCCAGCGTCCGGGGGCCGGGTGGAGGTGGACAGCCATTCACCTGTGCCTCCCCACGGGGACGCAGAGCAGGCGGGCAGCACAGCACCCCGTCTCCCCTGCACCACAGACCTCTCCGTGACCAGAGGACGCCCTTGACCTAGGACAGCCCGTGGGAGCCGCCACGCAGGACGCTTCTGTCCAAGAGGTGCCGTGGTATGCAGTGGTCACTCCAAAGCGGTTTGAGACTGAGACGTGGAGAATCGGTCACTTTGCCACCCCCACCAAGGACCGGAATGAGCTGTTTCCAGGCGTCCTCCTTGGGCCAGAGGGACGTGGGGAGCTCAGCCACCAGCCCAGGTGCTGTGGGAGGGTGAAGAGCGAGGTCAGGTCTTTGGTGGACGTTATTACAGCGTGGTGTGCGTTCAGGAAAGTCTACCGATCCTAAGCCTTCCCCGTCCCAAGCATTTTCACGAAATGGACTCTCCCACGTGGCCCGCGCAGGATCAAGGGACGGGACATTCCCAGGATTCCCCTGGCACCCCTCCTGGTATGAGAGTGACCCCCCCCCTTCCCACCCAGGCAGCCGCCATCCCACTCCAACCGGAGACGGCGCTGCCTGCCTCTGGGCCTGATGGAAAATGGGGTGATATCGACGTTTCGCCGTCCCCCGATTCTCTTGCTGAACGTCGTTATCTGTGACACACATTAACGAGTCTAGTGGCAGTTTTCATTGCCGTATGCTGTTGTGTGAATATGCACGATTCGGTCGCCCATTCCCCCGCAGACAGACATCGGGCTGACTCCAGTTGGGGACACTGTGAGTGCTGCCCTGTGAGCAGTGTGACTCTGGGGGAACCCAGGGGTGGATTTCTGTTGAGGTTTTATATTTAACATTGGACGGTCATAGGCCAAAGTGATTCTGCTTCAGCGGATACTGCCACGCAGGTTTCTAAAGTGACGGAGCTGATTCACACTCAGATCGGTGACACAAGAATCCGGATAACATTTTTCATAGTGTTTGGGATTTTTTTTGTTCGTTCGTTTTTATTCAGGAGTTCTGAAAAACCTAGTCCTCGGACCGAGCTGACCCTCTCTAGCCGTCTTAGAGTTCACGGTCACAAAACCTCGTCCTCAGACTAAGCTGACCCTCTCCAGCCGTCTTAGAGTTCACGGTCACAAAACCTAGTCCTCGGACCGAGCTGACCCTCTCCAGCCGTCTTAGAGTTCACGGTCA